CATGAGCATCATTTTTTTTCTCAGCAAAAGCAATACTTATAAATGAAGGTCAAATCAGCATGATAAAAATGGCTAACTTTTGGTTCTCAATCATGCCAAAGAGGAAAACATTGCTTGCTTAAAATAGTTAATCCCACACACAGAGGCCAGGATTTAATAGCAGGTAAATTTAGGAGGTAGAAATTATAAATACACTTGAAATTTTTTCAGCTCGATTTACCCTACAGGGGTTTCTGTGACTTTCAGGATAATTTAAAGATAAGGCAACAGGTCAGTAAATGAAGTATTAAAGAGATTAACAAAGAATGGCAGATATTTTTTCTCCCCATAAAGAATACAGATACATACATGCTCAAGTGGATAGATGTCAAAATAGTTCAGTGTCTCTTCTTAAAAAAGAATCAAGACGTGAAACTAATATAAAACCTTTAGTGTTTTGGGATTTTGCCTATGTGAAAAGATGACTGTGTTTGACTCTTTGCATAAGAAAAATGAATTTAAGGTATCACTGATAAAAAAGAATTTGTGGGCCACATCTCTCACAGGGCAGACCCAGTGAACCACCAAATAAGTAGCATAGTTTCTACTTCAAGTGGAGAGGCATGTGTAGCAATCTCACCTTCTGAATCTATTACCAACACCAATCTCAAAGTACCCTCTGCAGATATGTTCCTTATGCAACACCTCTTTAATACATTCTCACTCCAGCAGGGGGTGAGGACATCAAAGGGTTTTCTAGGCTGGGATTCTGGAGAGATTATCTTTGAAGCACAGCCTTTTTTTTTTTTTTTTTTTGTAGATGCTAGAAACAGCCAAATTGTTATGGTGGTATTGCATAACCCAGCCTGACACAGATAGAAAGACTGGTTAAATGGGCTGCTAATCTTGTGATGTAACTGTCTTCTTAGGAGGGAGAGCAGAGACCAACGAATAGAAGAGTTCAGCACAGTTTTCTTAGTTGGCAGGTCCTGAGAAATGACCGGGAAATGGATGTGAAGGCCTCTGGAATGACACAGGGTCACTTCCTACAGATGATCCTATATTGGGACTTCCTGCATAACTGCTGACCACATGCTCCCTTGGCTGTAAGCATTAAAACTCTCCAAGAAGATAATGATAACAAGGAAGCAAAGGAGATTTAGCTATCAGAAAATAGGCAGGGAAACACTGTAAATCAAATACAGAGCTCATGAAATAGCAATGCTTTTAGAAAAAGGAAAATGACAGTTTCTCAGAATAGGTAAAAAAATAAATAGAGTTTATTTTCTTCAAAGGAGATAGAACAAAACAAAAGCAGGAAGTGCTGTCCTTCCTTTACCCTGCCAGATTTTCATTGGAAAGTCAGGTGTGTTTATCAATCATGATAAGGGTGAAGAAACGAAAGTGATACCACCTTTCAGTTTTTGAAAAGAAAATGCAAAGATGTATCCTACAATACACTGTTCTTCATTTTGCTCTTTCAAGGCATGCAAACATGCCACACTATGAAGTGATTCCCATAGAAGTAGTCCTATGAATGCAAAGATGACCTGTCTTTAAACTTCCCAGATGCTTCTTGGTTTTTAGTACTCAAGGCAGGAATTCAGGCTTTCAAAAAATTCCCTTTTCCTCCAAAACAAAGACAATTCAGGGGCCATGAGTTAGGCTGTCATAACCCTACAAGATTCTTGCTTTGCTGTGATTACAAAGAATATTTCTTGCATTTCTATAGTGGAGTCAAATATTTTTGAATCTAGATACTTGCCAGAAAGTGCTAAGAGTCTGAATACTAACCACATGTTCTCTATATTTTGCATAAAACTACAAAAACCAAATAACTTATTTACATTCACTATCACATAGTCACACGATTAATTTAATGTGCTCCCTGGTGGGCTCATCCTCTGATGTCATTTCTGGGATAGAAATCAAATTTCACTAAATTCTATTAAATAGGAGTGACATAACATGCAGAAAGTACCTCCCTTACCAAAGTCACAAGCGGATGGTTATACAAATTTTGTTCGTAATTCTGTATTTCTGATCCCAGTATATATTTTAAATAGTAACAATAATTGCTAAAAAAAATAGTGGTTAGTCCCAGGCAAGCCTGAATAAATCAATTTATCCCACTTAATGGAAAGTACTGTATTCAGTAGTACAAAAATGGTAATATACTAGAAGAAACAATTATAGATGAGATTGAGAACCTACAATTGCCCAGAGATGATGCTAAGAGCTTTCCATGAATTCTGTCTATTGATTCTCACAACAAACTTATGATTGAGATTGGGAAAATGAGCCTCTGAATAATTTTGTGACCTGCTTCACAATCACACAGCTAAGTACTAGAGTATACACAAAAATTACATTCTAGGAATTAAGTCCAGAAAAGATGTTAAGGGTTAGAAGACCTGGGGCTCTGGTTTCAGCTTACTGTGAGACACTGGGCAAGTTACTCAACTGTACTGGACCTCTGTTTTCTCATCTGTAAAATTACAGTTGGCCTCACTGGTTTGTACTACTCTTTAATTTAAAAATTCTAGTATTCCCTTTGCTAATTTTCAGAGAGTCAAAAATGCATTCTGGATTACAAACTGGGATAATGTCAATGTCCCTTTTCCCCTTAGCTGGGGGGAAGCTAGAAAAAAAGGAATTAGTTATGGAGTCAGGAATTCTGGAGAATATATGGGAGAAGAGTATCTGGCACTATCACGTGGGGAGCAGGAGGATATGAGTGTTTAAGTTCCTTATTAGAGTTCTGTCCTTAGGTTCTTTTGTGTGCATGCACAAAGGCTCACAGGAAAATTTTTTTTCAATGCAAGATTTTATTTCTTCTGGGATCATATTCAACAGCATACACAGCCAAAACTTCTTCCCTTTTCCTTCTAACTCAGAAAAAAGGATATAGTCCCACTGAAGCTTTCTGAGTTTTTATGTTTAGCAACCAAAGGATTGAACAAGAAGTGAAAGGAAGCTCAAGGTTGTGGATAAACAAAGGATTGAAAGAACAACCACTTATATTCAGAGGAAAAATAATATGAAATTAAAGTTTCTATAGCATTTCTTTTTGGGAAGAGTAAGAGCTTCAGTGAGGAGACGAGACAGCAGTTCAGGATTCTGCTGTCTAGAACGGTTGGGTATGCAGAAACCAAGTGGAGGAAAGAATGTGAGGATTATATCCTCATGGCTTGGATCACTCACTCTTTGTCCTTTCCCTATTTTATTTCAGTTCTTCTCAGAGCATTTAATAGGGGAAGAGCGGGGGAGGGACAGACAAGATGAAGGGAAAGACAAGGAAAGGTAGAATAGAATTCTGTGCCAATGTGATGTGGCAAATGGAGGCAGGTTTAGGGGCCCCTATAAGAACAATTAATACATAAAAGAAGTGGTTGATGTAAGCATAGCTGAATCAGAGAACTGCAAGGTATCTTAGAGATTTTTAAGTCTTATATAACTTTCCCCATTGGAAAATCATTCTAGAGCACCACAGGCAAAAGGTGAGGCAGGCTGTGTCTGGATGTTCTAGGTAGAACACTTTCTTCTTCTTCAACAGGTACAACAGCTGGAAAGTTCTCATGACAGCATCCCCTCCCAGCCATTTGTTTTGGGATAAGCTCAATGAGGGCAGGAAATGAGTCCTAATGACTTCTGCATCCCTAAACATCTCCAAGTTTGTACCAAGCAGATGCTCAGTAAATTGCTGAATTAATGCATACGTAGATTAATGGATATAAATTATTTAAAGAAATGAATTAAGCCTACTTTGTAATCAATAAAATATATTTTTGCATATTTGCTAACAATAACTAGATCTCTAAAACTTTCTCTTCTTCAGGTTAAATAGCCTCAAATCTCCCAACTAAAGCTCATTGTTCTGGTGATCTAACTATATATGAAAATCTCTTGTAGTTCCCTACGCTTCAGGTCCATCTCTTTCTAATTAGAACTTTTTTTTAAAGTTTTCATGGTAATTTGATCAAACTGCATATATTTTATACCCTACTTTGTTACATAGTAGTACACTTTGGATGTTTTCTCATGCTATTACAATTCCTCACTGAAACCATTTTAAGTGTATATTATACTTTACTGGAGAAATATCTAGTGATTTAGCTAACTAATTCCTTATAGTTGTATAGCATTAAATATATCATCACAGTAGATTGGGCTTTGGGGAAAAAAAATCAGTGTACATGAACTTTTTCACCACTCCTGATCACCAATTTAGGACAAGTTACTAAAAGTGTGGTCAGAGAGCAGACATTTATAGAAAATAATTTTTTATGTGAATAGATCATGGGTTTATTATGGTTATTTTAAAGAACATTAATATACATTTTGATGCACTTTCACTTTTAATTTCTAATACAGTAAACATTGATAGCGGTAGCACACAAACAACAGCTCTTTGGAGTCCTTAAGGATGATGACAGTGTAAAGGTGTGCAAACTGTGGGTAGGGTCCATCCTCCCCCTTGGTCCCCACTTTTATTCAGGAACGACAGGGTCATCGATAGGATAATGATCACCTCTCCTTCTCAGAAAGCATGGACATTTTTATAGGATCTGGAATTCTTCCTCAGGATCCCTCCCCAGCCCTCAAGAACAGGGTAAATCCTGTTTTGCATTGCTGTACTGCCCCACACTTCCCCTTCACAAGCTTCATCTCTGCTCTGGATATTTGTTATATTTTTATGTCCTTTTGAACTACTTTGCTGCCCATGTCTTACTGCAGGACCTAACACACTTGATACATATTTTACTGAATTAGGTGAATATTGTTCAGTATTTAAATGTATTTGAACTCGTGTCCCAATATATAAGTATTTATATATTTCCACATCACCAACTCATTGCAATAAGGCCCTAAAAGCATGATATCCCAAATGGGATAAAATACTCAAGTTCAATTTCTGTTATGAATGAAGCTGGTGACTTAAAATTTAGTACTCAGCTACTAGGAATTTAATGAGCATGTTAGACCTTGCACTGAGAATTCAGTGAGAAGCTGAACCTTACCAGTTCTCGGGGCAGGAAACTTCCTTCCTGGCGGACAATAACCAGTGATGCTGTCTCTCCCTGTTTGGTGCTCCTCAGCATGGCCACAAGCTCTTCCTGTGTCCTTCCAGTGATGTCTTTGCCATTTACCTAATAAATGCAACCGTGTGAACAGCTAGAATTAACCACTTGCTATCTCCTTTTATCCTAGGTGCTTATTTAAAGCAAAACAATGGGCTCCCATGATCAGTGAAGCTCTGTGAAGATGAATGCTAAATCCAGTAATATATCACCCTCTTGATTACCATCCTGGACAAACTTAGACAGTCAGTAATTAGCACAGCACATTTTGATGAGGGGAAAATCAAACTGGCAGGTACCAAGATTGATTTGTCAAAGAAGTAGGAAGCAGACTTCAAATGCTTACACAGCATGATCTCCTGCCTAATATAACAAACAGAAGTAAACTACTATTACATGGCAAATTCCTCTGAAAAGGTGTGTATTTTAATATAATTCTAAAGTTTCCTGCATGTCTAGGAAACAAAAGCAGACCATTATAGCTTTCTGGAAATTCCAATTTGAAGCTATATTCTTCATTGGGTACATCTTGCTTCCTGATCTAGAACTACAGGGAAAAGCTGTAGTACTCTTTTTAAAGCAACAAGAGAATTAAAGACACCAGAAGGTAATTTCTTAAAAGGCAAATTGACAATAAACACCAAGATGGGGCTATTAAACAAAAATAAATGGAAAAAGAATAATCCCTTTGGTTTGGGTATTGTAAATACTTCTCTATGCAAAGCCCCTTATACTGTAACTGATTCCATTTATAGCTGAGCACAGGTGATATAGGTTTGGACAAAGTATAGATCAACCTGAAACACAGATGCACCCACCTTAAATAATTAATGGACTATTGAAATGGCTTGGCTGTGACTGAAATTCTTAGCCCTAACTGAATTTATGATGGACTTCTGGATTCGATCCAAATTCCCCAGGGGCTATAAAAGGTGAAAGAAAAGAGAGAAGATAAAGAAACTTTTCATTATTATTTGGCGGCTTATCACTGACCTCACTGGGAATTTACAAAGTTAGACTGCTCATTAACTAGTTTTATAATGAAAGTCTTTATCTTGTCTACAAGTAATAATTTTCAATATATACTATATTCAAAATAAAATATTAATATATGGTGAGTCCATATATCCATGGGGTTAATATCTATGGATTCAACCAACTTCACATAGCAATGTTTGAAACCTAATATACCTGTACTGACAGGAACAGATAACTTTCTTATAATTACTCCCTCAACAATACAGCATAACAGTTATTTACATAGCATTTAATTTGTATTAGGTATTATGAGAAATCTAGTAAGGATTTTAAGTATACAAGATGTGTCTAGCTTATATGCCAGTACTATAAAGGATATAAATATCTGCAGGTTTTAGTACTGTTAAGGCCTCAGGGACACTGAGTGACAATTGTATATGTTCATATATTTATGTGTTTCACAAGAAATATTTTATTGAAGATATGAATTTGAATTCTTACCTCCAAAATTCTGTCCCCTGATTGAAGGCGGCCATCTCTTATTGCTGCTCCCTTTGGTAAAATATTTTTTACAAAAATGGGACCCGGACCATGAATGGAAGAATCTCTGGTAACCACAGTGAAACCAAGTCCTTCGGGACCTAGCATATAAGACCATAGAATACAAGTCACCTTTAGCATGTGAAATACTATATTCAATATTAGAGTAGAAATGACCTAATTAAGACTACTGTAGAATAAGTGAAAATATTTACATTGCATATTTTAACTATGCATATTTTAAATTGTTTTGGTTTCAAATAAAGTCAGACCAAACTTGTATCAAACTGAATTTAGTGCTAAATATACATGAATAACACTTTCATTTATTCAGGTTCTAAAAGTCTACAAGGCTGGGGATTTAGTGCAGCGGTGCTGCCACTTGCCTCACAAGTGCAAGGTCCTGAGTTAGATCCCTGGTACCAAAAACAAAAATAAAAAAAAGAATCTTAAAAGAAGTATACATGTATGTATATAACCAAGAGACTGATTCTCTGTAAACCCTAACCTGACTCCACACTTTCCTGAGAAACAAAAGGTCATGTAAAGTAAATTTTGTTAGTCTCTTGATGCGCTGGCCAATGTGTGGCTCACTGCTCTGATGCCTGAATTGCTGCATCCATTGTCCTGTCAGCAAAGCCTTGCTGCTTCTGCCCTGTTTGCTTGCACTCCAGTTTCTCCCTTCCAGTTATTTTTTACTCTGCCTAAAGGTTTGCTCAGATTTCTACCCCAAAGAAGCTTTACTTCTATCTTATGGCTTCTTCAGGCTTTTGTCACTAATGATCTACTGCTATGGTGTGGACAAGCATCCCACACAAGTACACATGTGGATGGCTTGGTCCCTAGCCTGGGGCACTCCTGCCAGGTGGGACCTAGTGAAAGGGTGTTAGGTCACTGAAGGCACACCCTAGACAACAATATGAGAACCCTAGTCCCTTCCCTTCCTCTTCCTTTGCTTCCCAGTTGCTACACAGCAGGATGCTTGCTCTGCCCCACATTCCCACCACAATGAGATGAACTGTCTCAGCACAAATCCAAAGCCAGCAGCCAAAAACACTTGTGAACTAAAACATACTTCCTCTTTTTAAGTAGATTATTTCCAGTATCTTGTTACTTTAATGAAAAGGTGACATACCTAGCCATGATCACACCCAGTAATTTTTCCTATCCTTTATCTTTTCTTACCTAGCTCTGGCACTGCATGAATTGTCTGAAATAAACTTAATTTTCTGAAATTAACTCTCCCAATGTTTTAATATCTTTTTTTTCTGATTACTTTTCTTCGTCTGATCATTCAAGTACGTCACTAACTTATGCCATTGTCCTCTCACATATACACAGATGCTCCCTAAGGCTTTCTTTGGACCAGTTTATTCACTAGACTTCTTACTTTGGTCAATCTAGACTCCAAAATCTTCTCCCTGTGGAATATGCTATATCTTTTTGCTCTTAATCTTGCTTTCTAATGTCAATTTTCAGATATGACCATTAGTATCTCAAACTTCACCATGTATCCCTTCTCCAGTTCAGATGCTGGCCTTTTCAAATATCATTGTCAATTTAAAATTCTAATTTCTATGAATGGTATCTCAATTATGCAATTTTCCCTGACTGAAAATCTGAGCAATACTGTAATTGCAATTTCTTCTTCTTCCTTCTTATAGCCATCCATCTATTAAGGCATACATATTATATTTTCTCTTTTAGATAGAGGCAGTGCAATATTTACTGACTCTTTATTGGTCTCTCTTCAGTACATCTTTTGTTTTCAGATTAATCTTCCTAAAGTAGAGCTGTGATATGATATTCTTTATTTTTTTATGCAAGACTTTCTGATAGATTTTTAAAGTTATTCTGGGAATCATTCATCTTTCTGTCATCAAAGCACTCAACTTTGTGTCTTACATACAGCTGGATATTTTTGTACAGAAGTACAACTAATAGCCAGTATTTTTTACCTAGTAAGAGTATTTCTTACCTAGTAAATTTTATTCCCACTATAGTGTTTTTAAAGGTAAATGAAATTTTGATCAGATAATCTTTTCAGGTTTTTTCATAAGTTATAAAAAACATGTTATTTATTTAAAAAAATACTTTCATAGGAATTCCAAAATTATCTTTGATCATGAAATTCTCTACTAATTAAATCAATAATCTACAAGATCTTGGCTCCTTTTGAATCATCTTGAGAAATACAGGATTTTAAAAGGTTGTAACAGTGGAAGACAACAACAGGCAGAGGTTACAAAATAAATAAAAGCATAGAAGTGTATGAATGCATGTGTGTGTATGTGTGTGTGTGTGTGTGTGTAATACTGCATAAGTATGCATGTACACACATGATCTAGTCTTACTCATCTGCATTTGAAATCGATGGAAATTAAAAAAGATGAAAAGGAAAAGAGTGTATATGCTTTTGAAATGAAATTAAGTATGTTTTGGACAAATGTAATGTTGAATCAGTGAAATTAGCAATTATATGTTTGCTTTCTACAGTTGATCTTAGCCAAAAGGCCAAGAAATGATTATATTTGCTTTCTGAAGAGTAAACTTTTGCTGATTAAAAAAGATGTTCTAGAAAACCAGAGACTGTATACCGGAATCTGAAGGATCTTTACAAAAATCACTAATTATACTGAAACCAGGGACACCTGAATTTTAGTATTTATTTAGTATTAAATTATAACACAATATTTCTCTGCTTCTATCAAGTTTGCGATGATCCCTTCTACTCCCCAATATGTCTTTATTATTTTCTTGTTTCAAATAATCTATACTCTTCAGGAGAAAAGGAGAAAGTATGACAATTTTAAGAAATTTAAGTTACCTAAGTATACACTTCAATCCATTCTTTGATACAATTAAAGGGGGAATTAACTAAATTAACCTTAATGCATTTCTCTCAACCAATTTTACATGTTACAATAATAGAATGCTATTAAACATAATTTAATAATTACCTTTCTTTAGGTCAATTTTAATTTTCTTTACATTTTTCTTGCTGCCAAACCCCATGAGAGGGGAAAGTGAGGGAGAGGAAGGCTTTCTTCCTAGTCTTGGTACTCTGGGGCTCTTGCTCTGTTGTAGGGAAGTTGATGTCTCTGCTTCAGGATTATTTGTTCCTGTGAGATTTACTGTCTTTAGTCCCAATTTCCCATGGACAGGAGGTGACACTTTTGTTCTCAAAATGCCATCATTGTTACCAAAAATGTTAAGCGGTCCAATGACTGATTTTTCATACTGTTCACGGTTTTGTGGTGAAAGCACATGGAGGAGCACATGTGGGGATTTCATTGCCTGGCGAAAGACATCTTGAGCCCTTGAAAGAATGAACAAATGCATAATGATAGGACGTCCTAGCATGTTGTCTTCCAGGGAAACGCAGCATGGCAGCAACAAGAAGCACTCAGCAGTGTAAGGACAGGAGACATTGTCAGTATCACTACCAATATAACCATATTCATTAAATATCAGTTACCACTTACTACCAACTCTCTAGGTGCTCCTTCACTGGGATAGAAATGTATGATGACCATATGTAACTCATTGGCCCTTCTTAACCACACAAGATAAATGTAATTAGCTTTCATTTTCCAAATTCAAGTTGAGGCTGAAAGATATTAAATAATTTATTCAAGGAGCCACAAATCTTAAATATGAATAATTACTGAATACATAAAAAGCAAAATTTAATGTTAAATGGAAAATGATTTGATATTTTGATCATATTAATGGGTTATTTTTTCTTACTATGAATCAGTTTCTACTCCATGCTAAATTATTATAGCCCTCAGTTTCCACTTCTACGAAATAGAGATGATGATGGCCTTGCATACCTGTTAAGTCCTTGTTAAAAACACATGATATATATTGCAATTAATAATTATTATAATTTTGTCATTATTTTAACAAAATAGATTCACTTCAGGTTTAATTTCTTTCTACACGTAATTGGCCAGTGACCATTTTCCTTCTACCTAGAACCGTACTCCTTTTCCCACACATAGAATGGGGGAGAAAAGATGTATCAGCAGCAGTTTGGATCAGAAACAAGGGACAATACTGACTTTTTTGAAGCTATAGAAGTACTTATTCCTGTAATTTGGAACACCAGCACAGTGCCAACACGCATTAAACAATACAGATGCATCAGGATACTACATATTCTAATTCTGTAACATTTTCAATTTTAAGTTTTTTATATGCTTCCATGCACCGAGTCCTCACAGGTGTCTATCACAGATTTTTTTAGTTCAAGGAAGACTTCTGACATCAAATAAGTTAATTAATAAGCTGAACTAATAGTCTGTGAAAAAAGCCATTAAATACCAGTCTAACTGACCCATAACCCAAGAAAAACAAACCCAGCAAGACAACCAGGCAGAAAGCCCTGCTATATTTGAAGGTTTAACATTCCTGGGGGTGCCAGAGACATGTGCGGGCCACCTTTGAGTAAAACATAAAATGCATTTGGAAGTGGATGTTTGGGGTCATTTAAAGGGAACTGACCGGAAATTCTGCCTATGATTTTTATCATAATGAGTTCAGTAACGATTATAACCATTTTGGGGATCAATAAAGTAAATAAGACAACGAAAAATGCTTACTGAGCAAAAGATTTGTCCGTGAGATCCACATTGTTGATTTTTACAATGCATTCATTTTCTTGAAAGAGTCCCTCACGCTTGCACCTGCTGTTTTCTTCAATGCCTCGGATGAAGAGTCCTAGGATCCTAAATGCAGAATTTAGGTTGAAATAGAATTACTGTATAACAATATGCTAATCATTTTCCACTTGCTACTATTCAGGAATAACTATTGATTTTTACTTACAAAATACATTATGCCTTCTATTCAGGCAGCCAACCGTTTTTTATTGAAATCCTTGGTCAAACACACACACACACACACACACACACACACACTCAAACACTCACTCACTACAGTGAAAAGACCCGTTAAGACAATCCTACATAATATACGTAAGCATCAACTAAGGGGACATTAATCTGTGAGCCCATTTCTCATGCCAGCCACAAACCTAGCAAAGGCTAGTAGTGTATTTAGCAGGGTCAAGGATGCAAGATTCGTTTGGGAAGGGCATCACAGTTTACTGGAACAAGTGAGCCAGATGAGTGCCAAGACAGAATTGTGAGGTGCAGTTATGGGAAAGGATTAGGCATTTGCAGTAGTGTACTGCAGTCTCATTACCTGTTCCAGTCATTTGCATTTTAAGAGGTAAATAAGCATGTAAGATTCTAGTAGTAAGAAGGAAGCCCAGCCCCAACTATCAGTGCTGCTGAGTCAGATACATATATATTTGATGTCTTTAATGCTGAGGATAAAGGAGTACGAGACAAAGTTTTAGGACCAGGACCAAACAAAATGATCAGTACAGGTTTAGTATACAGTAAAATTTCAAAAACCAGAAACATTGAAAAGTGTGGGGTTATAGGATTTGAGAGCTGCACTGGATGGAGGCCAGTGTCATCCAGTGGGGACGTCACACTACCCTGTGTATCTAATCTGACAGAGCTGGCAGGGAGCATCCACCCACCAACTCCTGCTTCCTACTGACTTCTACGCTTTGGGAAGAGTTTTCTGATATGTCAACCACAAAGAGGTGGATTCAGGGAGAAGATCTACGGATTCCTGGGACTTTGAACCTTGGCTCAGAGTCAGGAGGGGAGGGGGCTGGAAAAAAAGGAAAGGAAAAGAAAAACTACAGCCATAGGAATGACGCTTGAAGCCAGGAGTGATGGTGCATACCTGTAATCCCCACGCCCTGGAAGGCTGAGGCAAGAGAATCACAAGTTTGAGCCCAGTATGGGAACACAGTGATGTAGTGAGACACTGTCTCAAAATAAAAATAAAAAGAGCTGGGGCTACCGCTGAGGGTCCCTGAGTTCAGTCTCCAGTTACATAAACATAAACACACACACAATAAATAAATAAAACCAATAATTTTTATATACAGCTAACCCTTGGTATCCATGGACTATTGGTTTGGTTCCAGAATGTTCCTTGGATCCTAAAAATCTATGGATGCTCAAGTTTCTAAGAAAATGGCATAAAATATACATCTACCTGTATATTTTAAATCATCTTGGATCATAATAGCTAACACAATATAATGCTATACAGATAGCTGTTGTACTATACTGCTTGGGCAATATCAGCAAGAAAAAGTCCATATATGTTCAATAAAAATATAACCGTTTCTTCCAAATATTTTCAACCCATGGTTTGTTGAATCTGCTATTGATAAGGAACCTTTGGATGCTGAGGACTGACAGTATATGTGTATAAGTATCTGCGTGTTTGTACACACCCAGTATGTTACATAGAAAACAACAACTAAGCTAATAATGACAAGAAAGGAACTTTATCTACTTAGCTGTTTCTCATTTGAGGGTTGTAGGTGCATCTCAGAGAGAGAAAGATAGCTATGCCCTCTAAGAGGAGTCCACTGTATGTGCAGAAACTGACATCCCCTGTCCCCATCCCCTTGGTTTGCTGTTTAGTTGCTCTCTTTTTCAAAGAGCCTTAGGTGCTATTATATAGTCGCTTTGCATTAAATTTCAAATCTAAATAAAATATGAGCACATTTTATGCGTGAATAATGTCAGCCATGGGAAAAGGGCAGGCCATAATGAAAGTTGAGGAGAAGTTGCTCTCCTGGGTGGAGTAGCCACAGACTGCAGCTTCCACCTGCAGGCCTTAGTTTGTTTAATGAGCTCATAGCTGTGTAGATGCAATAGGCATGGCTCACACAGTGATGTTTAAGTCTCTACTTCAAAAATATTAAATGAATACTGTGCACTGTTGCAGAAGAACAGAGCAAATCTACTTTGAGGAAGTAGATTTGGGCCACAGGTCCAAGTGTAGGATACAGTGTTGTGCTTCACTTCCTTTGCAGGTTAGCAAATGAATCAAACATCTTCTGTGTTACCTTACTCTACTAATATGATATAAAATAAATGAAGCTATTAGGGGCTGGGGATTTAGTTCAGCAGCACCACTACCTGTATTACAAGTACAAGGTCCTGAGTTTGATCCCAGTACAAAAAAAAAAAAAAAAAAAAAAAAAAAGAAAGGAAGCTATTTAACATGTAAAAAGGAAGAAATGGATCAAAAGTGTATTTTTTTCTCCAAATTAGGCAATCCCTTAATAGTTCACATTTTGGATTTTTGTTATGGTGCATTCACAGTAACATGATCCATTAGGAGGCTCACAAGTGGTTATAAACTAGTTTGTATAAGTGATATTTTTAAAACAAGCATTCAAGTTTTCCTTTAATTTAATTCAGTACATCACCAGTCATGTAATGTTACTCCCTAGGATTTAATTTCACATTTTGGGAGATGAATTAATTCTTTCAGGCCACTGGGTTACAATTTAGCTAGCATAGTACAGCTGGAGGATGCTATATGAACCTTACTGATCTAAATAACCTAACTTTCCATGAAAAATTTATTGACAGAATAAACCCAACTGAAAAACCCATACATCAGAGTTAATTTTGGTAAAATGTAAAACTGACTGATTTCATTAGTTTGGTCCCTGACAACAAACCACTCTTGCCCTCTGTTATATGGATGGGTGGATTCCCTTTGGAGTGACCTCCTCTGTTCACTATGAGAAGCATGCAAAATAGTATCTCATTGTCCATCATTGTTGTTACCCCAAATTGGTGGGCTGTCCCATTTGGGACCAAGACTTACAGGATTTAAATATTAATGTTTTTAAGGAATTATAGGCTGCTACTAAATAGTTAATTTGCATTAATAAAGGACGATGAACTCCACCGCCCTGTAGTATAAGAGAGTAACAATTGCTTCTTCCTCATCTAATAATCATTTAGGCACCAACAACTTCTCTTTGCCTCTTCCTGCCCTCTTGTTGGACCCCATCCTGGGCATCTTGCCAGCTGAGTATGTTTGTAGAAACATCTTCTTACATTCTGCATCCTTCTGCCTGAACCCATTCTTCTCCTCTCTTGTGTTTAGCTGCCACTGGAATGAAACCAAGGCATAGTATGCTATCTTTGCTGAAAAAAATTTCATATTTTTAATTATAAAAATTCACATTTATATTTGTTGAATGAATTGATTTTAGTTACCTTGCAGGAACTTAGTGTTTTGTTTTTTCACTGGGAAAGGCACTGACCCTTAATACAAGTAGCCTTCATTACCCCTGTGCTAAGGTGTATAATGAATTCATGGGACATTATTTGGTATGGCAGCCACTATAGTTTTCTTAGTGTGTTGTAACTTAGATTAGGTTTCTTATTAAACAACAGGTGTGACAGTATTTTTCTACAAGAAAAAAATACATTGAAGGTAAAGCCAATTACAGTAGTCTTAATAAAGAATTAAATGCAAATTCCAATTTAAAATAATAACACAAACCAATAAATGGAAGGAAATTAAGAGCTAAGACTACCACCAGGACCTTAACTAAGCCCTTGTGCTCATATAGTGAAACCATATGGCATTCTGAAGTAAGACACTTGTCTGACATGCTGTATGGGCAGTTGCACCTCGACACATGGGTTGAGTTAAGTATGCTGTTTCAGCCTGTATTCATTACTTTTATTGGCTCATGTCTCCACTTCCATATTATTTTTAATGTTTTTAAATTAAATTTCCTTTCTATAATACCAGTGAATAGCCAAAAAATAAATAAATAAAACTATTTCTCAAAGTTACCGAAAAGTTGACCATGAACTTAAACTTACTTTCTGAATCAGGATTTTTTGTTTTAGGTCAAAATGATAATACCAATATTTTATACTTTTTATTTTTGTACCAGGGATCGAACTCAGGAACTTGAGCTTACGAGGCAGGTGGCGGCACCACTCAGCTAAATCCCTGGCAATATTTTATACATTTGTACATGGTGAATTTTACAGGGAGTTGTCACATTTTTAATGTCATTTAATCCCATAACCTTGATGTGAAGTAGGTATTCACAAGAGACAAATTTAGGGGACTTACTGAAAATTATTTAAAAAGAATACTGGGATTAATTACAATTCTGACCCCAGGTCCAACATTCTTTGTACTATTCTACCCGGTTTATATTAGGAATGAGAACCAGAAAACAGAAGGGAGGAAGACAATAAATTCTAGCATGTTTCTCTATTTTAAGTAAGAGAAGGTGATTTCTCATTAACAGGGCCAAGCATGTGTAAATACCAAGTAGTTTCTCTGGTGTGATAAACTAAAAGTGTAAATAAGAATCAAAATGTATAATTGATATTGTGTAATAGGAAAAAAATGTCTAAATCTGGAGGGGAAGCAGGAAGGGTAGGGGAAAGCTAAGGAAGGAAAGAAACAAATAAGAGAAAAGAAAAAAATGGAAACAAAGTCTCTGTAAATAGGCAAGGGTTGAGGGAGTGAAGGGAGGGCAGGGGAATGGGGAAAAAATAAGAACCAAGATATATCATGTAAAGGTACAAGATCCCAATAATGAATGTAACTGTACCTAAAATGTACCAATAAAGAAAAAAGAAAAAAAAATGAAATATGGTGACTGTCACATTGTACATTTTCTCATCTTTGGAAATTGGGAAGATCTCATGTTCTATTCCAGCTTCATTGAACTAAAAGACCTGGTGATTTAACCTCTCTGGTATTTCACAAAGCTTTCCCAGAACATTCCTGCCAAAAGCCATTAGAATATCTCAGGAAAACTGAGTAAATACTTACTCTGTCTATCAAAGAGAACCTTGGTTTGTTCTGTGCTTTAACCCATAACACTTATAAATGTGCTTATTAACACACACAGGAAAACAGACAATATGAGCTGCTAGATTTTCATTTCATTTCTTTTTAGAGAATATTCATTCCAGCAAGGGCCTGCCATCAGATGGTATTTGCCAAAAGCAAAAAAGTGATGACTTTGCAATTACAGGTAGCAGATGGCTACCTGCTATACATGATACCAACCAAAATACCAGGACCAAATCTGCTCTTCTTGCTATAGGGCAGACAAAACTAAATAAATATTCAAATTGAGGAAATTAACACAATTCAACCTGTGAAAACCTTCGATTCTAGAAAGAGCAACAGAACACAGATAAATCAGAATGTCTGGGTTTTGTGCTACACTGGGAAACTCAATGGACTATTATGGCCTTTGATAGCCTACGTTAAAAGAAAGCATTCTACTTTTTCAATGATGTATTTAATAAGTTAAGCAAATTAATTAAAGTCTGGTCATATGAGGGAGAAACTGATTTTTGTTTAAGTTTCAGACAACATGTCAATACCAATCTAGTGCTAAAGGCAGTCATTTTAGCCGGACATGGTGACACATGCCTTAATCCAGTGTGGATTTAGCAATATAAAGCCTCTAAAATTCCAAAAGGATGTGGTAAATTATTTTTAACAGCCTAAATTTATTTTAGAAAAAAGCCCCAGCATGATGACATTTTCCTTCTATAGATTAAATATATGTGTGTGTGTGTGTATATACACATTATTTTATATTTCAATATTTAAATATATGGCCTCTTATATAGCTACCATAATATTGAATGTTTATTGTTCTTAGTTTTATAGACAGTGCTTACTCAACAATATGAGGAAATATCAATCTGGAATTATCTTTACTTGCTGACATGAATTTTTTAACACTAAAAACTGAGCAATGATATTTGCCTAACAACAGGGTAAAATCTTTGCCAGTGATACCGTTTACTGTGTCACCCACAAGGATACCTTAAGAAAAATATCATAATCAATTGTAAATGGAGAATTGTGATGAATATTTTTTCATTGAATCCTAGAAGTGTATGATTTTATTTTGTTTCAAACACAGAAAAGGCCAACATAAGTATTTCTTGTGGTGTCCATCTGAATAATAGGAATTCACACTTAAGTATCTTCTGAAAAAAATGATTGAGAATATAAACTCATTGAGGTTTTCATTAATATGAGCTTCTGAAACAAGAAAAACATCTTACCTTCCACTTAGAGATGAAAAGAAGGGCACTACATGTATTCCTAAGGGGCCTCTTGCCCCAGAAATCTCCACTGTTCTTGTCATGTCACTGGGACAGAAAACAAAAACAAAAACAAAAACAAAACAAAAAACAAAACAGAAGCACAGATAAGTCTGCTAGAAAGCAAATGAGGCACATGAACAATACACCCCTTGTGTCACCCCCCTCCACCCAGGACGATCTTAACTACTGCAGGGGCAAGAACAAAGGAGTCTAAAGACTGTATGACTTGTAGGTATGATGAAAAGATCCAAATAATAAAATGTATAAAAGAAGAAAGAAAAATGAAATGACTACCTATAAAATAACCTCCCACTTAATCTGCATAAATCAACATTTTAAAAGTACACAAAAGTAAAATTTCTCCCCAAAGAGATTTACTTCAAAATTACAGATCATAAAATATATGCAAGTTAGTGCATTTATGCTTAAGCAAAAAGTATGTGGCCTTTCTTTTCTGGAAGAGAGAAAAAATGAAATAAAACATACTTATTTATTAGAAAAAGCACAGTATTACAGTTTGTAATAGCTGTGAAGCCATAGTTGGTAATACATTTGGGCATCTTCAAAGCAATATAAGTCAAAATTTAAACTTTCATCAGTTGATTTCAATGGAATGATTCCAAATTTTCACCTCCTACTTCATTTATTTATTTATTTTAAGGTAGAAAAAGAGGTTGCAAAACCTGGAGAAAATGTATTATAGAAAGAAATAGAAAGTCTGACCTGCTAACCTAGCCCAGATGAAGGAAAGGATGAACTAAGAACATTAATGGATAGTGTGTATGACAGACATATAGAAGGCACTGGGTGCTTTGGAGTAATAAAGAGTGGAACTAACAAGTTTTCATAAAAATGAAAAATAATAACTGTGAATATTGGCTCCTTTAATCTCCAAAAGAGTAAATGAAATTGCCAGGGAAAATTATAAAGTTGTAAATACTTCCTTTATGAAAACTGTAAGCATGTTTCTATTGTTTTCTACTTACACAAAAATGACCTGAAACTAGATGTCAAATTAAGAACTACAGCTATTACAAATGCTTTTCTGTTCCAAATGGAAAATGGTGAAATTTTGGTTCTTTGCTGGAAAGTGGAGAACAGCCTTAAGGAAGCAAAATGCCTGATGAATTCACTGTGTGTGAAAGATTCTTTATCAGAATCTAAAATAAACATTAAATATGTTCTCATCAGTGGATTAGGCTTATTTTTAATGTGTTTTCTTTGCAAGCCTATTATCATTAAGAACTGAAAAAAAAGTATATTAGTGTCCAGTATTTGTGGAAGACAGGGAATTTCAATCTGATAATAAATATCAAATGGAATGTTACTCAGATATTGCTGGTATACATATAATTGTTTAATTAAATAGGTTATATCAGTGGCTTGCAATAGAAGTTGAAAGTGAAACAAACCTGAAAGTAATAATATAAGATAAAATAATTCTGCTCTATGTGTGTGAGAGTTCAAACACTTACACGAATATATATACAAGTATATGGAGAGGTATATAAAAGTACATATTATAAATTCTGAATAGAAAATGTTTGGTAGAAAGTTGTACAGATTTTAGTGAAGCAAAGCAAAATTTTTATTAAATAACAAATTTATGGTGCATTTTCACATAGTTCAGGAAGACTAAACCCAAAGCATTCCTATTCTTGGTTTAGATATTGTTTTAACTACTTCTAAAATAAGAGACTAAAATCTTGTTTAATCATTGAAACACTATCTTTTCCTTTGTAATATATTTTTACAGTTTCACATTGAAACATAACACAAATCTTTCCTGATAAATGTATCAAATGTCCACATGCTAACAGATGGCAAATATTTGTAATTTACAGAGGTTTAAATACAAGTGTTTAGTCTAGTGTAGACTTTAAGATTTTAGTTTAAGAATTTTAAGGATGGATTTATAGATTATGCCTTTTATAAATTCCCATTTTTTCCTACTTGTAAAATATTTCTTCACCCTTTCTCAAAATTCTTCCTGTAAATATAATAAATTCCATGGCTCATACTGAAACCTCTTCAGTAAGTGTTAACCCTGATTTTTATTTTCACTTAATAAAATAAATCTTACAATATAAGTAATGAAACATGTTTAAAAATATTTTTAATATTTTAGGAGGATAGAGTTTTTAAAGTTAGTTTCTATAACTTCTCTTTTCAGTATTTCAGATTATACTTTTAGCCTGCCATTACACACTATAGTCAAAGAATTCTTTGGTTAGAAATATTTTTGGTAACTGCTAGGTTACAAGCGCAAACATGTTACCATCCCAGAAATAAAGCATAGAAGACTTTTAGTTTTATTGACTACAATATGCAAGTATTATCAGAAAATTAGATCTATTAATATAGACATACTTTATAATTTTTATAATATCTCACACTGTTCCTTACAAAATGCTATCAATTATTTCTTTCAAGTATGTGAACAAAGTAGCGCTCATAGACAAATTCACTAATTTTTATTTATTTTTAAAAGGAATACATTCTCAACAATATCATACATATTTTGTAGAGTTCTGTAGAAATCTTTGTACATGCATACTTCATTGGATAGAAACACAATAAGTAGGACTAGATACAACTATTTTAATACAGAAGTTACATGATGCCAAATGTGAAGAATAAGGTGGGTGGAGGGACACCACAATATTTTCACGAGCCTGCTTTTTTATTAGATGTCACTCGGCAACATCATTTACTATATTATTTTGCCACATCTGCACAGGCACTTATGAAAGAGGACTTCCAGAGCTGCCTTAAAAAGTGGCAAAAAAGATGGGATAAGTTTATTCGAAGTGAGATAAAAAAGTATTTCGAGGGGGATTAATGATGATATGTCTTTTGCTGTAATAAAGTTTTAAAATTCAAACATTCATGGTATTTTTGGTCCCTCCTTGTACATACCTCCAAAACTGAGACTTCACAAACATGTAAAAATAGGCTACTGATGCTATTTGTTGACATACCAAAGAGTATAGTGTAGGAGCTAGTGAGCAGGACACACCGTTGACAGGTTTTGGAGGGTGGAATAATGGCAAGCAGGAACGTTGAAAGGTAGACTTAGAGTGAAAAATGAGGTAGAAAGGATATTCTAGGAAGGAATTATGAAAAACAGACAAAAGATGAAATGTGTGAGGTAAAAGTATATTTGTTCTACAGAGAGGAAAAGTAGAGAGATTTCACTATGGTCAAGAGAGCTAACTTTATATAAGTTTCTAAGACATATTAAAACAAGCAGAGTTGCAAAGAATCAGGTCAACTAATACCATGTAAGTAAAATGTCCTGGGGTCTGCTTGACAAAACTGACTCAAATAATCGCTGGGACCAAGTGCTAATGATCTAAGAACTCAGGACAAAATCATGAGTAAAGTGATGAAATCAGGGCTTGAAATAAGCCCATCATTTTACTCCATGAGAGCCAGACAATATGAGCTACAGTTGGTGTCCAGGAACCCCCCAACAAAGACTTGAAGCTTGAGGCAGAAAAATACAACAGAAGTTGCATATGTCTGTAAGTCTGATGTCTTCACATGAAGACAATGTTTAGCATTTTAAATACTCTGCTTATTAACTCGTGTAGGACTTTTTAAAAAAATTTAATTTATTGGTACATTCTAGGTAGACAGTACAGTTACATTCATTACTGGGATCTTGTACCTTCACATGCCAGGTCTTGGTTCTCATTTTTTCCCCGTGTCCCCACCCTCCCTTCACCTTCCCTCCCCTCCCCGCTTCAAACACTTTAATTCCATTTCCACATTTTCTCATATTTTTTTCCTTTTCCCTTATTCCTCCTTCCCTATCCTTCTCACTGTCCCTACACCTTTGGTCCTTTTCTTCCTATTGCTAAGTGTCCCATTAGGATCTTGAGTACTATTATAGTCTTTCACACCAGAGACACTATTCGGTATAAGTGTAGGACTTTCCTTGGAGTGTGGGAGAGATGGACTGAGCACCAGGAGGGAGAGATGCTTTGCATCTGAGAGACAAATGATTCAAATAATTATGTAATTAGAGAGAAAGTACTTCTCAAGGGGAACCTTGAGTCTGGTAGGTGAGTGATTCATGTAAATTAATACCCAAAGCCTCACATTCCTCATTTGTACAATAATATTAAAACTAGGGGCTCTCTAACATTCAGAAGGTGTCAGCTGGTGTCTCCAGGAACTGATTCTCAGGCCTGTTGTGTGTAACAGAACGAAAGATGGATGGCATAAGGAAACTTTCAAGATGAGTTTGCAGATGACTCTGAACTCTGTTTAAGGATGAAATATCTTGTTAATGTAAATGTGCTATGTAAAATCTAACAAGAAATTTGTTGTTCAAGGGGTTCACTTGAATTCAGTAGATATAATAAAGTTAGCTGTGGCAATGGGGGAAGTTACACAAGCTAAAAACAAAGACTAGTGTGCGTGAGGAGTTCATAATCTAGAGGAAGAGTTGAGATAGATAATACAATTTAATACAAAGCAATAGAAAATAGTACACGTTGATTGTTTATTATCTTAAATGCTTGGGATAAGAATTATCTCAGATTTTTGATTTTATTAACATTTTGAAGATATATAGATATATATCTTTGGGATAGAAATGGAGTCAAAAGAAAATTTGTGTTTCATATACATACATTGAAGGAAATCTCTATATAATATTTTAAACAATTTTGTGCATTAAACAAAGTTTTATAGTGTAATTTTCTACTTGTAGCATTGTGGTGGTTAACTGACTAATGTCATCTTGAGTGAGAAATGACTAGCTGAATTGAGTCAGCAAAGTACTGGGCATGAAGACTCTTTAAAGAGGATTGCTGTCGGAATGGTATAAAAAGAGACTAAGAGGGAAAGATTTCAGCTGATCTTCCTTGGAGGAACTTGCAGCTGATTTTCTTTGGAAGAGATTCAGAGGAGCTCAAGTCTTTACCTTCTCCTGGCTTTTGGTGCAGATTCTTCAGGTTCCAGCACCAGCTTTTCGGCCCGATGATGCAGACTCTTTAGCTTCAAACTTCAACCCTTCTATTTCCCAGTGCTAGGATCCTTTGACCTCCTGATGCAGACTCCTATGGGACAAGGCCATGGGCTTCAGGCCTTTGGCTGAATCCTTCGAATCTCTAGAGATCTTTTGCACTCTTCTACGTTTGGCTCAGTGGGTGGCCACTGAAGGCCGGCATTAAATGTGTCCTGCATTAAAACTTATGCAGTGCATGTGCAATCTTTTGAGGAGCCTTGTTCCAGCACTGAAAGCTCTTGTAAGCATTGACTAATACAGACATCATGCTGACACTCAAAAAGTTTCAGACTTTGGGGTATTATAGATTTCAGATTTATGGATGGTCAGCCTATTGTAGTAGTACACTGTCAGTGAATGCAATCTATTATTTGGGAGGCAATATGCTATTTGGCTTCTGGGTATTATAACATTAATTCATACCGAATGCATAGCACTTTAGAATGTTTCCATTTTAGAGGGAAGTAAATTATTGCTAAGGGAGGTTAACAATCTGTCCACCCTGATTTCCCTCTCACATAAGGTAGTATCAGGATTCCAATGGGGATTTACTGCACTCCAGAGCAGGAGTTCTTAAATACTGATATGCCACTTTCAAAGAAGAGGTATCTGATATGGTTCAGAGGAAGAGGGTATAGGATGGAAAAGTGAAGTTGGGATCAGGAACTCTTCCTTAAGGTATTGGCATTTGAGAAAAGACTCTGAAGGGCAAATCCATTTTCCATCCGAAAAGATAGGTGAGAGATGGAGAGGACACAAACACGGGACAGAAGAGTGTCCATATTGAGATAATGAAATAGGATGGCTTATGGATACATGGGTGGTCTGTAACATTACAGTATGGGAAGACATGATAAATGGGGAAGAGGAGGAGCAAGAAAAGGAAGAAGGAAAGAAGAGGGAGAGAGGTGGTATGCACATAAGACAAATTGAACCATCAGCTTTGAAATCAAATATCCAAGTGATCAAATCCCAGGCTGGAAAATTCACACTTAATTTTGTAGAAAATAGAGTCACTAAAGGTTCTGGAACTAAGGAATAGTGCTATAAATCATGTAGTTTAGACATCTGTCTGGCACTTATATGTGGGAGCAATCAGAAAAGGAAAAGACAAGGGAGAGATTGGCACTTGAGACAAGAGTTAGTGAATTACTACAATAATCTACCTTTGAGGGAACACAGGCTTGGGCAATGGTTACAGAATAAAGCATGAGACCATAGAGACAGGTTTGAGATATCTTGAGATGAACTCTGCAAATAATTTTCCCAATGAGTAGCTGTCATAGGTAGAAGAGAAGATAGGAGAAATTATGATGGCAACTTTAAGCTTGGAAGAAAAGCCATATCTGGAACTAACCTGGGGAAGGAGGAGTTGAGGAATAAAGCAGAATGGGAAATAACACAGGAACCAGGGGTGAGGAGAGGTCTTCCACACGTATTACTTAGTATTTTAAGAGAATCTCAAAGTGTAAGCAAGAAAAGCTTGCTTCACAGTCTTAAGATCAAAGTAAATTATGTGGTGACTCACAGGGCATGCCTACTAGAAAACTATTTAGAGAACTCCCTTTAACTATTATTTTTCTTTAAATAAAGATGCTCTATTAATAATGGATGAATTCATAGTTATGCTTATGATTTATAGAGCAATTTATTGTATCTATTCAGTCATTCACTGAGCAAATATATCCCTATTATATCCCAAGACCTGTATTAAATGTCAGAAATTCTTTGGAGGATTGTCTTGTTTGAGAGAAGAAATAGCTACATTAAACTGCAGAATGTTTAATAGGGACAATGATAGTTATAATATCAATTAATGTTTATGTAGCCTTTCATTTAGCACTGTGCTACATTAGTTGCTTGTAATATACCTTAATTAATCTTCGCAATAATCTATATGATCTGACACTCATTTTTCTTATAAGAAAAACATTTTAGAGAGGTTAATTAGTCCAATATGGCACAGGTAGTTAGCACAGTCAGTGTTAAAATCTAGGGTTTAACTAAACCCAAGGGGAACTAGGGAAGGGTTTAGGATATTTTATCTAGTAATACTACAGGGGAACAATTAGAATAAGGAGGAATTGCTGTTTGGGAGAGAAAACAGTAGTTTATGACAATAGTATAGCTGAGAGGCAAGAGAAGTTTTAGCAATGCCCACGGGCACAGAAATAGGTTCAAGATGCTTTGAGACAGGCTCTGCAAATGATTTTCTCAGATTCTATGACACTTGCAAAAGAGTGTGCCCAAAGGCCTATTCTAGGGGACAGCAGGGCCTCCCCACCCCACAAAGATGCTGGCCTTGAAATTTAGCTGGAGGCAGCACTCAAATCTATATTTAACTTTTTCATTATCTCATACCAACTCAAAACAATCTCTTCTCCTAGAATTTTAATCTTCAAGCTTTATCCTGTTAGTTGGGTATTTTATACTATAAAGGTTTTTCTTGCCCTCTCAGCCTAGAGTCTGCAAAGTCCAGGAGTTTGCAAGAACCAGAATTCATTAAACATTATGAATTTGATCTGAAGCTGATTTCAGCTGTGGTTCTCCTGCACTGGTACCCACTGAATAAAGTTTTCCAGCCTTGGTTATGTGGTGTGAAGTTAAGAATCAGTAGGTGCATGTGAGTAAGTTTTGAGTTAACAAAGTTATAGAAAAGAGCAGTAGATGTGAACCAGATGTTACTTAATTGTTCTGAATTGAAGTTCTTTCCCCAAATAATAATGCAAATGGTTGCTTTGATAATCAAATTATACTAACATACATATACTTTAGAAGTACTTTTTTTTTTGGTACTGGGGATCAAACTCTGGCCTTTGTGTTTCTGAGGCAGGCAGCGGAACCACTGAGTCAAATCCCTGCCCCGACTTTAGAAATACTTTTAAAAAATTCCTCTGCTCTATTTCTTACAATTTTTGTATACAGAGAAAACTTAGTTATTTTTTTTCCTTCAGCCATAAACCAAATAAGTGTTCAATGTGTGTGATAGGTACCCATGTAGCATTTATGCAGAATGTTAGCAAACTTTTTAAAAGGCTACCATTTGTAAAATGATGTTAAAGCCAAACAGAATGAATATTATATCCATTATGACTACCTCTAAATACAATCTTATCAAGCTTTAAAAACAGTATTTTGGAGATTTTTACATCAAATTTTTAATATTGCATAGCTTATTAATCAGAAAAACAATACAAATAAAGAGTAAGAGTAATAATGCTCGTATGGCTATAAATTATAAATTTTAGAACCCACACAGTGAAACAGTGTGATAAATGATAATAACCCATTTTAAAGGTAATTTCATGCACACTGACTGGCACCTATCAGTAAATGGACTTGGCAAAAGCACAATAACGGACTGACCATCTTGCTCAGCAGCATCACCTTCTCACGTTTAAAAACATGTTCCATGTGAAATCACTATCCTTTTGCCAAATTTGAAGCAACTTAAAGAAATGATAATGACAATAATAACAATAACACAAACTGAATAACACTATTAAAATATCCAAAATGTGAAACATTGTCTGTGATGCCATAACGCTCAAAACGTTTTGGGTTTTGGAGTATTTCATATTTCAGAGTTGTGGAATGGGTATGCTTCATTAGATAGGGTATGCAAACACTGCCAAATCCAAAAATGAAAAGCCCAAAATCTGAAGCACTTCTGTTCCCTAGCATTTTGGATAAGGGATAGCCAATCTATACCAGAAATAACGGTAATAATAACAGCAAAAGCAACAAATACTCAGAAGGACTCACTGACTCAAGCACTGTTCCAAGCACTTTATCTATGTTAACTTAATAAATGAATTTACACATCATAGCATAATAATTGGTCCTTGTACTGACGCTTTGAAGGAAGTTTTAATAATATTTCGATTTTGTAAAACACAAACCTACACAAAGAACTTGTCTAAGTTCATAGGTAAAGTATGCAGCAGAGCTGGGATTTGAACAGCAGGGCCTAGGCTTTAGTACTGCACAATAAGTGCAAGGAAAAAAAAGGTATAAATGACACCAAATTATTAGTTACTTTCATTAACACCATGAAAAATTCTGATTAATATACTTGATTCATTTGTATTCATCAAGTAAAACACTGCAAAATTATTCAAACAATATAAAGCAGTACTCAGAGAGCTGGACTCAAAGTGAAACATTTTACCACAATAAACTCTGAACTGTTTACTTTAAACTGGTGTTCAAAGAGAAGGAAAAGTAAATAAGAAATCCTAGTTGTGGAAGAGTATTGGAGGGGCGGAGGATCACTTTTATAGATGATGTCAGTAAGTTCTCCTATCTTCTACAGAAAACGGGAGAAAAAGAACAACTATGTAATTAATGTTAGAATTGCAACATGTTTCATGCTGCAGTTCTATGTACCTTGGTCTTTCCTGTAAAATAAAACCAGTTACAAACTGTGAAATAAATCGAGATAGAGCTGAAATAAAGAAAAATATTCTTATTTGCATGAAGAAAAATACCTCAATGCATCCTTCGTTGTTGGCGATGTTAGAAGTTCTGTCGGCACACTGCTCATTACTTCTCTGTCTTCCAAGTTCGGTGTGGAATCCTGCAGTGAAACAAACCCATAAGCATGTGGGTGCTGCACATATATAATTGAAGGTTTGAATAAAATATCTCAACATGCGAGAGTAAATGGTTTTACTCTGGATATACACGCATGTTTCAATTCCTTTTAAGACTGGAAACAGGTGTTAATCTTTTCAGTGCTTTTAATGTACTTTTCTTTCCCATTTGGTTTCTGAAATGCTCAAATGGCCCATTCACCCAAGGAAATATGTTAAGAGCTTCAGATTTCATCATTTAGCTTCCTGCTACTCAACCATAGGCTTTTGGGACTGCCTTTTAAATCAGCACAGAAAAGGAATGCAAAAGGGAGGGAAGGCTGCAGTGTCAGACAGGTGGTGAGAGATGTTTTAATGCACTGTCCTTGCTCATTCCCTCCCATGACACAGTACTACAATATAAAGGTAACAAATCTATGAAAAACTGTTGCTTAACATAGTTGCTTCTGGCTAAAGTGCACAGGAACCCTTCTGGAAGAAGAAATCCAAAGTTCTTTATCATGAGACTTTGATTTTGACGATGCACTTTACCAGAAAGGGAATATATTGACCCCTTAAGTTTTAAGTTTAATTCACTTCCACTACAGACAAGTAAGGGGATCCAGGGAAGGACTCAAGGATAGAGTCAGTTGGTAGTGCGGGACCAGAGAAGTCAGAGGAGAGGCTGGATTCCAGACAGTATGGCTGCTGTTGACTCTTCTTCTTCTTTTTTTTTTTTT